CAAACACAAAAACCAACAAGCACACAAGACACAAAACACATGAATTATGGCCTGTGCTTAAAACTTTCTATCCCACATCGATAAAACAGTATGTGCTACATTCTGTTATATATGGGAATATTCAAATAGTTAATTACGGTGTAAGGAGGGCCCACTGGTATTTAAAGCTGTCAAGCTCAATACCAGAGGCATTCCTTACACCGACTTTTTTGACAAAATTTAGTCTATGTCCCACATCGGATAGAAATAGAGAATAAATGCGGTTCATATATGCGCGGTCCACAACATTTGGCTACCAAGAAGGGAGTATCAGTGGAGGCAGGTCTCTAAAGTCGACAAATGGAGAACTTCACAGCCACTGTTACTCGCTTTCTTGGCCTCCTATCATTTTTGAGTCTTCAGCCTCATAATAAGTGATTTGAGGAAAAATATGAAATAAACCTCCCCTCAGGCTCAGCGCCGGAGAGTAATTCATTCGCCTCGGACCCTAAGTGTCCGGCTCGGCAAAACCTCCCCTCTGGCTCAGCGCCGAGGAGGGATTCATTTAAACCTCCCCTCGGGCTCAGCGCCGGGGAGTAATTCATTCGCCTCGGACCTCAAGTGTCCGGTTCGGCACAACCTCCCCTCAGGCTCAGCGTCGGGGAGTAATTCTCTCGCCTCGGACCCTAAGTGTCCGGCTCGGCAAAACCTCCCCTCTGGCTCAGCGTCGGGGAGTGATTCATTTAAACCTCCCCTCGGGCTCAACGCCGGAGAATAGGTCATTCGCCTCGGACCCTAAGTGTTCGGCTCGGCGAAAATCTCGCCTCGGACCCTAAGTGTCCGGCTCGGCAAAACCTCCCCTTTGACTCAGCGCTGGGGAGTGATTCATTTAAACCTCCCCTCAGGCTCAGCGCCGGAGAATAGGTCATTCGCCTCGGACCCTAAGTGTTCGGCTCGGCGAAAATCTCACCTCGGACCCTAAGTGTTCGGCTCGGCGAAAATCTCGCCTCGGACCCTACGTGTTCGGTTCGGCAAAACCCCCCTCCGGCTCCACGCCAGGGAATGTATAATTCGCCTCGGATCCTGAGTATCTGAGGCAGCTTCGGACCCTAAGTGTCCTATTCAGATCAGAACTCTTTCCTCCGGACTCCAAGTGTTTAATACCTTGTGTATGCGGATATGTCATAAGTTCATCATATTCCACCCCACATCAAGAACACATGAGAAGGAAAGAGTATGTATACTGAAGGCAAGTAGAAGGCGAGGAAGGTTCATTTAACAGTTAAATCATTGTCCATACGACTCGTCCTGCGATATCAACTAAACTGTTAAAAGGGATCTCCTTCTTCCCACAATCCTTGCATTTTCACGGATAGCATAAATCCGAAGTATAAAGACAATGTTTAGTGTTTAAACACATTACCAGTCAGAGAAATATATCAAGAGCATATAGCAAAAACAAGTCAGGCAAGCCTAAAACGAAAAGTTATATTTATTATCCCAAAACATGCTGTTCATAAAAACAAAATACATAGTTCTACTTCCTCTTCGGATCGAAGGGAGTAGATTCAAAAGCATCCACTACATTAGGACTTGAGGTAGCCGCAGGAGCAGGGGAGCTAGGAGTACCCTTCAGGTGTGCCTTCACCATCTCGGCAAAGCGAATTTCAGCTTCCAAAGCCTCTGGCCCTTCATCATATGGGAAGTGCACCCCCACCTGCTTGTCAAAGGCGTCCGGATCCATCGTCTTAGGGCCTGAGCCCTGATTATAGCCAGACCAGAACGCCTTAGCACTAGCCAGATGCGCCAGACAGGAGTAGCGCCCCTGCATTTGCTTCCCCGCCTTGAAGTAAGTAGTAAGAGCCTCGGTCAGGCGTTGAACCTCGGCCTGAAGAGAATCCACCTTAGCCTCAGAGGCTGACAACTGCCTCTTATACGCATCCTTGGCTTCAGAAGCTATCTTCAGATTGGTAGAGGCAGTAGTGGCTCTCTTCTCTGCATTGTCAAGATCCTTTTCCAACTTCTTGATGGAGAGGGATTGAGCTTCAGCAGTGGCGCAGAGGGCCATGGTGTGGTATAGACTCTGTTTAACAGGGAAGCGAATATAAGCATAAATAGAAACACAAGCAGGCAAGAGTAGCATAATTCTGAAGGTGCAATGCGAACCTCTATGGCCCGGACTGGGGCAGAGGGGAGAAGTTGCTCCAACCCCATTTGGCTGATGGCTTCCTCGTCCTTTGGGAGCCACATTCCTCGAGCCACCGCCAGTGCAGCTGAAGGGTCTGTAACCACAGAATCCCCTGAGTGTAGGACTGACCTGTCAGCCCTAGTGAAGGAAGGAGTCCAAGGAGCTCCAGTCTCAACAAGAACAAAGGCCCTGACTTCATCTTCAGGTTCAGCCTCCCCAGCTTTTTTCCCTCTGCTTTTAGAGGGGACTTTGCCCTTGCCAGAGGAAGAGGGGTTGAGGCGAGATTTCTTCAATGGTGGTTCCTCAACCTCCACTTCATCCTCAGTTGATCCAATGACGACCAAGGGTTGGGCATCTCCAGCTTTCTTTTTTAAAGCCTCAGCCCGCCGTATCTCCTCCTCGGTCATAGGGAAACTGTCAAAAGATGGTAAAGCCAGGTCCATGAGGTCTGCAGCAACGGCACTGGAAGCAATGTCCTTGAGGTTGGAGGAAGTTAGCAGGTCCTCGATAGGCGAGGGGTTACTCCAGACTCGTTCCTCAAGAAAAGAAAGTCTGTTCCTTGCTGCGGAGGCCGGGAATGTAGCTGAAAAAACACCAAGAAATTCATAAATACGGCAAAATATTAAGACTTGGCAAGGAAAACAGCCAGAACACTTGGTATGAAGGGAGGTTAAATATTCTATACCTAATTTCCTGAATTTGCGCGGAATGGGAAGCGCAATTGATTGGGACACGAACCATTTCCCTTTAACTACAACCATCCTTTCTTTCCATTTCTTTTCGGATGAAGGAAGGTTCGTGCATATCCTTTGATGAAGGGGAGAGGTAAAAAAGAAGCGACCAGGCTCGGTCCCATGCTTAGATATATTATAAGTAAGCAGAAGGTCGGCAAGGGTCAAATCCAGAGCCTCTAATTTCCGGCGCACCAACAACGCCGAAAGGATGCGAAAGAAATTGGGATTTACTTGAAGGGGGGCAAGACCTAGCTTATTGAAAACTAAATGATAGAAGGGATGAAGAGGGAATCGGAGGGCGTTAAGGTGCCCTACAGAAAGAAGCAACTCATCCTCCTCAATTCCCTCGCCGGAGGTGAAATCGGCACCCTCGGGATATTCTGCAATGTCTACTCCTTCAGGAACATCAAATTCTTCCATTACCGAAGCAATAGAGAATTTGATGCGGCGAATAGAGATGATTGCTTTCTTCTCTTCATGGGTAAGAACGTAATCAGAGCCTGAGGTGGATGTTTCGGTTGGAAGAGGGGAAGTACCTGATGAATTCAACGAAGGGCGATCTGTAGAAACCCTAGGAGGGGGATCCCTAATGCAAATGGGGGAAGATGAAGGTGTGGATTCAGAATCCCCAAGGTCTACACGTTTGGGAGTAGATGAAGTACTCATAATGAAAGATTGAAGAGAAAGATGCGAGACTAACCTGACAAAGCGAAGGAAGCGATGAAATGAAGGACGCAGAAGTGCAGCAAGGGCAAATGTAACTCTTGCAAAATCTTGTGCGACGGAAGTAATAACGAAAGGCCACGAACCGTTTCTGAAGCAAAGTGAAAATCGGTTTCAATTCTCTCTTTAATAGGAGCCGTCACTCAATTAAAAATGGAATTTGGGGCAAAGTGTGGAGGGAAAAAAACTCCCTCCAATAAAAAACGCACATGTCACCACTACCCATATCTACAGGCCAAGGACATATAAGGCCCATCATGCTCAAGCCCAAGTTGAGGGTATTTACAGCCCAAGACCATTCCATCAAGGCCGACTCAAGAAGCCATCAGCCCAGCTTGTCGTCAACCCAGATATGAGTATTTAACATCCGGCCTGTTACCCAAGCCCAGCCGGATCAAAATATATTCAGCCTAAGAATGCACAAATCCTACCATTTGAAGAATTTACGGTAGAAGGAAAATTCGGATAGGAAGTTCTGTACAAGGCAAGTTCTATGTATGGAAAATTCAACAATGGAAAGAACTCTATTAGAAAAGTATGGTTATATAGAAAGAATTGGAGGGCAAGCAACGCGAGTCTTACCATAATTTTGCAATCTTTTGTATATAAATAGAGGCTAAGACCTCCAATAAAGGATCAAGCAATTCCACACTTCTCTACACATTGTTCTTATTTATTTTTATTGTTTTTGAGTGAGTTGTTTTATTTTTCTCAATCATTATTAGTTGAGCGAAATTTTGCACATACAGATATATTGTTACGTTAGAGAGAATTTTTATCCCATTTCTCCAAAATCCTTACTAAGGCAACAGTAAATCTGTCACAGTGATAATGGTTTGGGAAACATGCGCCTTGGAGAAAACAATCCTAGGGTTTAAGTTTCAAGCCAATCAGATGCGTCTTGACTGATGACTGTTGACTGTTTGACTCGAAAGAATCAACTTTCCTTCCTGGGAGCAAAACACTTTCTTGTGCCCATTTCCCTTTTGACCCTTTCCTTTCTCAGCCTCCATTTTAATTTAGATGTGATGGTTAAGATTTGATTAACCTATACCATCCATCACTCAAACCCTAGATTACACAATCATCAACATCTCCATGGCCACAAAGTTGACACGTGTCCAGTTCATCATGCACAACCCCTTCCATGTTACGTATCAAAAACACTCTAGTCTGATCACACTTCATCCTTGTCTCTAATATTTTCACCACTTATTTAAACCTTAAATTGCTCCATCAGTATAACAAACTAGCTAGTTCTTTATATCTATATATGCATATATAGAGAGAGAGAAAGAAGAGAGACAAGGAGAGAGACCAAAGATTAACAAGGTGTAATAAGGGTAAAGAAGGTGTAACAAACTAGCAAGGTTAAATCCAGCTAGGCTTTGTCAAAAGTCCTTATACAAACCCTAGAAATACAGAGACTATACAAAAGTTATTTGTCTTCCTACCTATAATGGAAATGTCCATTAATTATTTTCCTCTCTTATCTTTTTTTTTTTTTTTTTTTCTCTCTCTTTCTATTCTTACATTGTTCTTGTGCAAGTGCTTTAGAACAAGGGAAAGAGGAGAGGAATTAAGAACGAGAGAGAGTTTGTTGGTACTGAGAGAAAGAGAGATGGGGAGAGGAAAGATAGAGATAAAAAGGATAGAGAACTCAAACAACAGGCAGGTCACATACTCAAAGAGAAGGAACGGGATCATGAATAAGGCTAAGGAGATCGCTGTTCTCTGTGATTCTCGTGTCTCTCTAGTTATCTTTGCTAGGTTTGGCAAGATGCACGAGTACTGTAGCCCTTCCACTAAGTATATATATATAAATATATATATATGTGTGTGTGTGTGTGTGTGTGTGCGCAACTTTTTTTCCCTAGATTAATTTCTCTGTGACCTAACTATTTTTTTTTCTTCTTTTTTCTGTTTTAGTGGATGGGTTTATGATTTTTGTATGAGCTAATATTATTATTATTATTATTATTATTGTTATTTTTTTATGGTGAAGGTTGACTGATGTATTGGATCAATATCAAAAGCAGTCCGGGAAGAGGTTGTGGGATGCTAAGCATGAAGTAGGTCTGACCACTCTCTCTCTCTCTCTCTCTCTCTCTATATATATATATATATATACACTCCTCTATCCATCCATCTTTCCACTAAAATGTAAAAACATTTTGGTTTCTTGCTTGTCTCTCTGTATAATGAAAAGGGTTTTTTACTAAAAATATGTTAAGTAACATACTAACATGAACATGAATTCTGTAAACATATCTACAAATAGGATGTATATCTCTCTCTCCCTTCTCTTCTTTTTAGTGCTTTATCATTTTCTAATGATAAGTACATAAAAAAACAATATGAGAATTGAGAGACATTCATGAACAGATCTGGTAATAAATTGCTAAATTAATATTCTTTCATTTCTCTTACCTTGCAAATTAAATGGAGTAGTGATATGTGTTTTCATTTTAGTACAACATAATATAAAGATTAAATGTATTTCCTAGAATAGATCAATTGCTGAACTCTAGATCTCTTTGCCTGGCTCTTATTTTTGTTGGGTTTTTTTTTCTTTTTTTCCGGTAATTTTTTTTTTTTTTTTTTCATGGATCTGTATCTTTAATTAATTTGCTTGTTATATATATATGATAATTTAAATTTTTGTCGTCTGCAAAAATGACCCAAAAAAATATATTTAATTACAGAATGTCAGCAATGAACTCGACAGGATCAAAAAAGAGAGTGACAGGATGCAGATTTTTTTTTTTTTTTGAATGGTAAAGCAAATGTATTAATATATAAAGAATTTACAGTGTGATCCATAAGGCAAGTAACCCACAAGTTAGAGCCCAACTAGCCCAACATCTAGAGACATATATAGAACAACAAGCTCCACGAACAAGAAAAGACCCAAGAACAGCCATTGATAACAAATTCGAATCCGTTAGCAGTGGATGTACATAGCAATTCCGGTAACAACCTGCAGCGATGTACAGGGAACTTCCATCCGTTAGTCTGGAGGCATTGGTGGTGGCCGATTAGCCACTGGATAAAAGGCCCATTCAGTAGCTAGGGCAGAGAAAACAAGCAAGAGGCTTTGTGTTTCCATAATCATAATTTTGTGTGCGCTAATTAAAATAATGAAGAAAACAAGCAAGAGGCTATGTGTCACACCAAGTAAAAGAAATTAGCAAAATTTGATATGTTTCCGATAATTGAATCAATGGAAAAAGAATTTCGGGGAAAAAAAATTCAATGATAAAATTAAGTAGGTTCGTTTGTTAAACTTCAAGAAAGAATTTTGTCACTCCACTTTTGTTGTTAATAGATTTGGTTATTTCTGATCCAACTTGCAACATAATTGTTAGTGTCATCTTGAGTACCTAATATTTAAATTTTTTTCCCCTAAAAGTTCAAATAAGCGCACACACACCTATAATATTATTGCACTCAACGTTTCATTTGGGAAGGAGCGGGATCATATATACCATTTGGACTAATGTCCATTAGTTTGAGAATCCAATTTAGTGTCACCTTGAGTACTAAATATAATAGTAGTAAGAGCCTTTTGTTTTGGTAAGTTTTGTGAACTACAGGTCAATTAATTTTGTACAGAAGTACTTTCTCTTTTTGTATTATCAATTTTATTATAAAAATTATTTAAGACAAATCAATTAGTTTGTTTCAGCTGACTATCACTAACTATATATAATCTACAATTGACTAAACCACATATTAATTAGCTGCTACTTAATCTAAGTTTATTATAAAAATTATTTAAGACAAATCAATTAGTTCGTTTTCTCTTGTTTCATACCAACAAGTTTTGTAATTTTCTTACAAAACCTATTTGTTTATCTATTAAACTTTTTAATCCACAGTACCAACAAGAGATGGCTATGGATGGTAATGTGAGAGACATGGAGAAAACATTTCATCAGAGCGAATTCCAGCCCCAAATGCCCTTTCACTTCCGCGTACAGCCAAGTCAGCCAAATTTACAGGAGAGGTTTTGGAATTGTTGATGGTAAATCTGAACTTTCTGATCACTTGGCCTTATTCCATTAGAACTTAAGGTTTGGTAATGGCAGAGACCTTAAGATCCTTAAGCATGTTATTGCAGAACTTGTAATAAGGTAAATTTGGTTTGTGAGACAATTAAATACTTTGTGAATGATTACGGTGCCATTTGTTTCGATGAAATATATATATATATATTTTATTTTTTGGTGTTGGTAAAGGTCTATTCGTGTAAAATAACTTGTCAAAAATTGACGAGTATTTAAGTTATTTTCGTTAAATTTGAAAAAAAAAAAATTCATAAATATTTTACAATAATCAAATACTAAAAAATAAAAATATATTTTTTAAAAAATATTTACATCCGAACACACATCCAGCTTGCCTATACCAAAGCTTTCAAGATAGTTTATAAGCTAATTGTTATTAAATATTTTTTGCTTCCTACCGTTTTTAGACACTACTTTTGCGAATATAACGATTTTTTGTTTTGTTTTTTTGAGATCGAAAGTCAAATATGATGAAATGTTGAATTGACCTGGCTACATAGGGTTTCACACCTTTCGGGCAAACCTCCATTTGTTTGTACTATGTTCTTAATTACTTTTATCAACTGTTCAGTCTCATATTTTTTAATAAGTTTTAAAAACACTTGGAGTGAATATATCACTAAACTGATACCTACCCGATGTATTGGCCATAACAGATTTCCTTCGAGGCTTCTGTTTGGTACGCGTTTTATTTTTGATATTTTTATTTTTGTCCAGTATTGTAATTGGAAAAAACGTGTTTGGTAAAATATGTTTTATTTTACACATTGTCAAAACGTTTTATAAATAGTGACCAAAAATTGAAACACAAATTTAATATTTTTAACCTAACCATTATATTTTTCAAACTTGCAATATTTTTGTGTCAAACATATTTTCATAATTTTGTTTCCAAAAATCTTACAACGATGGTTGGATCACAGGAGAACTTATTGCAGTTGTTTATGCAAGGATGCTCCTTTGCAGGAGGACAGACATGGTGCCTTGCTGATTAGTTTGTGATTATTTTGCTCAGTGTATCCTTGTCTGTGTTGTGTAGGTAATTAGGCTGGTCAGGTGGGGGTGTATGCTTTAGATGATGGTGGTTTGTTTGTTGTATGTTTTATGATTGTTTGGCTGCCTTGTGCTTAGATGTGCCTTTGAGCTGTTCTTGTAAATTTTCATTTTTATTTATTAAAGCTTACCTTTTAACCAAAAAAAAAAAAAAACATGTTTCTGATTACTATTCAAAACACTCTACAATAAAATACTTATTTTGTTTCGAGTTAAAATAAAACACCAAAAACAAAATGCAAACATGTTAAAATTCACAAAAGATCATTACAAAGCAAAACAAGTTACTTAGCAGAAAAAGAGTGTGTCAATTGCCACTATCAAGATCTTAATTTCTTCACCGGGTTGTTGTATACACTGCACTACATAGCATGAGAATCAAATCCATTCTTGCTTTGATTTGTTTTTTTTTTTTTCAAAGTATTCCATTATTGATTTGAACGTAACAATCGTGCGGATGTGATTGAAAGTTTAAGCTTGTAAAACCAATTCAATTAAGTAGGTGTGCAGTCAAAGAAATTGTAAAAAAAGTGCTTTGATGAATGATGTAAATGCTTTAAATAATACCACATTTGTTGTCAAAAAAGAGGTCCAAATTGATGTTTCCAATATTTTCACATTGTAACAAAAGCCCTATAGTGATAAACACTACGTACTAAAAAAAAAAAACTAGGTGGCCTTTTTCAAGATCTTCTCATCATTACTTATGCCGAAGATCCTTTTGAGAATTTAAACCTTGATTTATTTTTCTTCTATTTTTAATTTTTTATTAGCGTTCCTTTTGTTCATATAATCATATTTCATTTAAAATCACTACATATTATATTTTTCATATCCTTCCCAAAAAATCTGTGGAACTTTTCATTTTTCATTGTCTCAAAATAAATTGTTCAACATTTTTTTTTTTTTTTTTTTTTTTTTTTTTTGAGGACAAAAAAACCAGCACCAAAGGAGTTCTAGCTTTCTAGGGCCACACTACGCACCTTGGAGGCACAACCTTTGGGTTTTAAGTTTGAAGCCAATCAGATGCGTCTTGTCTGATGACTTTTGACAGTTTGACTCCAAAGAATCCACTTTCCTTCCTCGGAGCAAAACCCTTTCTTGTCCTCATTACCCTTTTGACCCTTTCCTTTCTCAGCCATTTTTCTCAAGAACAAAACCCTTCATTTTAATTTGGATGTGATGGTTGAGATTTGATTAACCTATACCATCCATCACTCAAACATTAGATTAGACCATCATCTGCATCTCCCAGGCCACAAACTTGACACGTGTCCAGTTAAGCATGCACAACCCCTTCCACGTTCCGTATCAAAAACACTCTAGTCTGTCCACATGCACTTCATTCTTGTCCCTAATATTTTCGCCACTTAGTTAAACCTTAAATTGCTCCATTAGTACAATAAACTAGCTAGTTCTCTATAGATATAGCTAGTTCTCTATATCTATATTTATGCATGTATACAGAGAGAAAGAAGAGAGAGAAGGAGAGAAACCAAAGGTTTACAAGGTGTAATAAGGGTTAAGAAGGTGTAACAAACTAGCAAGGTTAAATCAGTTAGGCTTTGTCAAAAGTCCTTATCCAAACCCTAGAAATAGTGAGACTATACAAAAGTTCTTTGTCTTCCTACCTATAATGGAAATGTGCCTTAATTATTTTCCTCTGTCTCATACTTTTTTATTCTCTCTTTATATCCTTACATTGTGTTTGTGCAAGTGCTTTAGAACAAGGGAAAGAGGAGAGGAATTAAGATCTAGAGAGCTAGAGAGAGAGATGGGGAGAGGAAAGATAGAGATAAAGAGGATAGAGAACTCAAGTAACAGGCAAGTCACATACTCAAAGAGAAGGAATGGGATCATGAAGAAGGCTAAGGAGATCACTGTTCTCTGTGATGCTAATGTCTCTCTTGTTATCTATGCTAGCTCTGGCAAGATGCATGAGTACTGTAGCCCTTCCACTAAGTATCTCTCTCTCTCTAGACTATATATATATATATATATATATATATATATATATATAACTTTCTTTTGTGTAATATATTTTTCTGGGTTTTTTTTCCTTAGATTTATTTTTGACCTAACTATTTTTTTCTTTTTCTGTTTTAGTGGATCTGTTTGTGGTTTTTGTATGGATTAATGTTATTGTTTTTTTAAAAAAAATTATTATTATTATTTTGATGGTGAAGGTTGATTGATATCTTGGATCGATACCAAAAGCAGTCTGGGAAGAGGTTGTGGGATGCTAAGCATGAGGTATGTCTGATCTCTCTCTAGAGATATATTTACTTCTCTCTCCATCTTTCCATTAACAAAGTAAAAACATTTTGGTTTCTTGCTTGTCTCTCTGTATAATGAAAAGGGCTTTTTGCTAAAAATATGTTAAGTAACATGAGCATGAATTTTGTAAACAGATCTACAAATAGGATGTAGCTCTCTCTCCTTCTCTTCTTTTTTGTGTTTTATCATTTTCTAATGATAAGAACACAAAAAACTATATGAGAATTAAAAGACATTCATGAACAGATCTGGTAATAAAATTTTATTCTCTCTCTTCTTGCAAAATGGAGCAGTGATATGTGTTTTCATTTTAGTATAACATATTTAATATATATATATATATTTCAGAGAATAGATCAATTGCTGAACTCTAGATCTCTTTACCTGACTCTTAGTTTTTTTTTTTTTTTTTTTATAAATAAAATTTAATGAAAGAAGAAAAGTAGTGCATATATATATATATATATACAAGCAAATGTAACCAAAGTTCTATGAAAAGCTAGATCTTGACATATATAGCCTCCTCCTACATGGATCTGTATCTTTAATTCATTTGCTTGTTATATATGATAATTTAACTGTTTGGTGTCTGCAAAAATGACCCCAAAAAAAAAAAAATTAATTACAGAATCTCAGCAATGAACTCGACAGAATCAAGAAAGAGAATGACAGGATGCAGATTGAGCTGAGGTAATTAAATTGCACTTTGTTGCTTCTTTGCACCTCTCTCTCTCTAGCTCTCTCTCTTAAGGTCTAAGCATGTTGCAGGCAACTGAAGGGGGAAGACATAACATCTTTGCACTACAAAGAGCTAATGGCCATAGAGGAAGCACTCGACAACGGGCTTGATAGCATTGGTGAAAAACTGGCAAGTTTCATATATATAGTAAACTTCATCTACTTCAATTACATAATGTATGGGGTAATCCAGAACGACACAATTGATGATCCTTTTTCTCTTTGTATTCTTTTGTGACAGAGGGAAATTGTCAAGATGAAAGAGAAGAATGTATGTGCATGCAGATCAAACAACTATTTTTTCATTCAATATTTTAAAGTACTCCTTTATATATGATTGGAATAACATTAATTAGTCAAATATTTCTCTATATTTAGTTCCTGGAATGCAAATGGGAAACTTTGTCATTGGTCCTAAATTAATTATAAAGCGAGAGATACATAAGCTATTTACTTACATAGTTTTGGTTGAAAACTTCTCAGGACAAAATGCTGGAGGAAGAGAACAAGCACCTCAAGTACTTGCTGGTATATATGTTCATCACCTAGTTTCGTACCCAGTCCCATATAGATATATATACGGGTGTGATACTGCTATACAGGTGTTTGCATATATAATCATAATTTTGTGTGTAATTAAAATAGGCTTTGTGTCACACCAAGTAAAAGAAATTAGCAAAATTTTATATGTTTTGGACAATTGAATCAATGGAAAAGGTAGGTTCATTTGTTTTAAACTTCAAGAAAGAATTTTGTCAATCCACTTTGGTTGTTAATAGATTTGGTGTTTTCTGATCTAACTTGCAACATAATTGTGAGTTCAAGTAAGCACTCACACACCTACTCGAACGCTCATCGTATATACCATCTGGACTAATGCTCATTGGTTTTAGTATCTAACTTGCAACATTAATTGCGTTTGTGTCACCTTGAGCACTAGCTATATGTGCAGAAGTACTCTCTCTCTTGTTCATTATCAATTTGAATATAAAAGCTCTTTAAGACAAATCAATTATTTTGTTTCAGCTGGCTGTCACTGACTATATAATCTGAAATTGAGAAATGGATACACAAGATAACTGACTCAACCACATATTAGTTACTAATCTGTACAAAATCTCATTTTTCTCTTGTTTCATATCAACAAGTTTTTTAATTTTCTTACAACTTATTTGTTTATCTATTTAACATTTTTTTTTTTCTTTTCTTTTTTTTTTTAAACCCACAGCATCAACAAGAGATGGCTATGGATGATAATGTGAGAGCTGAAATGGAGAAAACATATCAGCAGAGAGAATTCCAGCCCCAGATGAGTTTTCCCTTCCGCGTGCAGCCAAGTCAGCCAAATTTACAGGAGAGGTTTTGGAATTGTTGATGGTCTATCTCAACTTTTTCACTTGAGTACTTATTCAACTAAAACTTATGGTTTGGTAATGGTAGCTAGAGACCTTAATATCCTTAAGCATGTTGTTGCAGAACTTGTAATAATTAAGATATCTAAATTTGGTTTGTGAGACAATTAAATACTGTGCGAATGCTTGTGGCCACCATGATTGGCCTTATGGTTATCCTGTTTTTGGCTAACTTTGTGGAGTACTAATATTTCTGTGTGTAGATGTACTGATCATCATTCCTTTGTTTTTTTTTTTTTTTGTGTGTGTGTGTGTGTGAAGTTCTAAAAATGTGTGTATCAGTACTTCATAAAAATGTAAAAACTAAATAGGTTTTTTTATTTTTTTTTTTTCAGAAATAATTTTCCTTACAATCTGATCTTAGGGTTGGGCTTTACTTCATTGTAATGTCTGGCTGTGGGGCTTGTCTGGGCTTCTTGTTACCTTATTTCTTTTGGGCTCGTTACTGGGTCTTGCATATTCTCAAGGCATTTCCCCTATGTACATATTTCTCGTATCAATATATATTTGCTTGATTTTTTAGAAGAGTTGAATTGTTCTTTCCATGATTTTAATTTCTTCAATGAATGGTTATGTATTCTATAACAAGATAATTAAATATAGAGAAATTATCGGTCTTTTGACATCAATTACCGACTCCTCTTTTAAATACAACGTGGTTGGATTACGTTGGAATTCTTAAAAAAAAAAATCCCGTAAACATCTCTTTCTATTCAACTCATTTTCAACCACATTATATTCAGAAGAAGAGTCGACAATTAAGGTCGGAAAACCTATTATTTTTCTTAAATCTATTATTGCTTGCATTTTGTATTTAATTATTATTTTTGTCTGTGTTTGTGTGATTAAGATTATAGCGTAAGCAATCTCTTGTGCAATATGGTTACTCACTAAAGTATTGCATCAATAATTTAAACCTAACAGTTACGTGGATGCGATGGAAACTTGTAACTTGTAAAACGAATTCAATTAATCAAATATGCTAAATTGTGAAAAGTGATTTTTAAATGTTACTTTCTAGTTCATAATTTAATCTAACAATACCAAATATAAACAAATCAAACAATCAAAATTCAAAATCACAAAAAAAATAATAATAATAAAAAATTAAAAAAAAAAAAAAAACACTTGTGGAATACAATAAAATCAAGTAATTCAGATTTTGCCACGGGCAAGTTCAGAATTGAGTTTTCAAGGTCTTTTAGAGATTTGTAGAGGATATAGGGGGAAGATTCTAAAATATGTAAAAATTTTGGAGATTTGACGGGTAAAGTAGCAGATAAATAATTATAGGGTAAATATCTAAGATATTTACCTGGAGGGTTACAGAGAACAAATACATCCAACCATCTATGTAGAAGTTGGAAACCTATAAATAGGTGGGAGTACTTAGTATATTTTGCCAAACACAAATTTTTATTCAATATTTGTATTCCAATGATGATCATATAAAATACCTTCTTCAACTGATGAATCAACATAATGTTGTCAAAATGCATAAATTTTAGCTTTATAGGAATAGGTTATACCTTTTTCAACAGCTTTCATAACAAAATACCTCTTCACACGAGGATCGTACACACAAGGATCTGATGCAATTGTTTGTGCAAGGCTGCTCCTTTGCAGGTGGCCAAACATGGTGTCTGGTAGTGGTTCTATAGTAGTTGTTGCTTTTCCTGTTTGGCTATTGCGAGCTGGTGCGCCCTTTCTGGCTTTCTTGTTGTATTGGTTATTTCTTGTGGGTATGCTCGGTTTGTGGTAGCTGTTCCCCTTTGGGGTTTCTCTTATAAATTCTCATCTTATTTTATAAAGCTTACCTTTACCAAAAAAAAAAAAAAATACCTCTTCACAATAGACATTTCACCAGTCTTCATTAATAAAAATATCAACCAAGACATGACTTGTATCACATATTCAATTCTTATTTGTAATTGTCATGCAAGTTTTTTCCTTAATTGTCAACAAATACACATGAATTTACCCCTTAAGTGCCATAACACACCTCATATTTGCTGATGACCTAATGTTCTTCTCATATGCTGATTTAGTCCCATTGCAAACCCTAAAGCATGTCATTAACACCTTCTCCACCCTTTCTGGACTCCAAACAAACCAAACCAAAAGCCATATTTTATTATTAGGTGTCAACAACCAGCTAGAATCCTCCATTCTTAGCTTAATTCATTGGGTTTAAGAAAGGTTCTCTTCCTGTTAGGTACCTTGGTGTACCACTTGTCTCCACCATGCTTGTTAGAACCAAAATATTAAAACGGGGAATATCAAGGCTTAAAGGCGCGTAATCGTTTCTTGAAGATAGTTGAAACCTCTCCCACGTGCAACGGAAGACAAATGGCAGCACTATCTCCGGGATTCAACTAAGCCCAGATATCAAAACTGTATGTTCATGAAGGTTGCACTTCTTCTTCATGAACCTGTGTATTTATCTCCGTCCGATCAATAGAAAATATGAAACTCACACACTCAAACTCAATAGTTTGAATTTTTTTTTTAAAAAAAAAAAACAAAAATCTCTTTTTCCTCTCTTACTTGTATTGGGAGTGTGTGATTTGTAGGCTTCGTATGCCATACTATTTATAGCAAAATATAAAAGACATAATTAAATAAAGTATTTAATATAACTTTAAACTTAACTCATAAATAACATATTAATATAGTTGATTTAATTGCATCAGGTGAAGATCCTTTGAGTTAGAGTTTGTAAAAATACTTTATGTCTTCGTAAATAAATAGTAAAGTCAAAACTTAAAGCCTTCATAAATATAGAGTTACTAAAAATTAATTTGAAACATAACTCCAACAATCCCCCACTTGTTTTAAAATTCATTTTGTTGATCGGTACAGTCGTGTGCATCAATAATGGTGTCTTTTGGACTTGAACCATTACCTAGTGTAAGTACCCTTGATTTCATCTAAGAACTTGGTGAACGATGTCTTGAACCAAGAACCACGTTAATGAATAAGAAATACCACACACACATTTTTGTTCGGAGATAAAGTACTAAAGCTTGACACGTTTCGGCCATGTGTCCGGAATTCATACTTCTGAGTGTCGTTAAGGATCAAGCCTATCTAGATCCTATAGAAGCAGCCCTACTTCTACACTTAGATCAGTGTGTCCATCAAGAATGACCTTGCACACTCTAACCGAATACTGGTTATGGACTCATTAAGATAATTTAATCTCACCCTCTTCATTGCAAGATAAATCGGTGAATCTATCAAGAGTGATTGTGTACACCCCAATCGGAAATCCGATTTATAGAATTCATTAAGAGACTCATGTCTCAGCCTCCTCATTGATTATACGGTTAATCTATCAAGAGTGATCCTGTACACTCCAATCGAAAATCGATCTATAGATTCATTAAGATATCTAAATCTCAACCTCCTCGGTTACAGGATTGAGCACCACATCACATCATAGGGAAAGGAACATTGATATGCTCACACAAGTTGTTATGTTACTTGTTTTTCCCATTGAACCTAGGAGAAATATCACTGGCTTGGTTCCCATAACAATACAACTTATTCAATTACAAGCTTTAATCCCATCCCTTTCGATGTCTCGAACATTTGGTCCTTACCCAAACCCTTTGACAATGGATCTGCCAAATTTGATTTGGACTTCACAAACTAAGTAGAAATAATTCCATCAGCTAGGATCCTTCTCACATGATTATGCTTCAATCGCACCTGTCTAGATTTTCCATTGTAACACTCGCTGTTAGCTCGAAGCATTGCAGCCATATTGTCACAATATATTGTCAAAGGTGGTATTGGCTTGTTCCATATCGGGATATCTTCCAATATGTTTTTCAACCATTCAGCTTCTTCTCCGGTAGAGGAAAGTGTTATAAACTCCGATTCCATAGAGGAATGAATTATACATGTTTGCCTCTTTGATTTCCATGAAATCGCTACTTCACCCAATGTGAAAATCCAGGCAGTCACAGATAATAAATCTTCTCTGTCAGAGTTCCATGTAGCATTGCTGTACCCTTCGATTACAGCTAGAAATTTGCCATAGTGCAATCCATAATCCATAGTACCTTTCAAGTACTTTAGGATTCTCAGCAAAGCATTCCAATGCTCCTTTCCTAGATTGTTTGTGTACTTACTCAAAGTACCCACTGCAAAGGTTATATCTGGCCTTGTGCAGTACATTACATACATAAGACTGCCAATAATCCGAGAATATTCAAGTTGATCCATCATTTTACCTTGATTACGTACCAACTTCACACTAGGATCAATTGGAGTAGAGACTGCAGAATCTAAAAAATGATTAAACTTTTTCATAATCATCTCGATATAGCTAGACTACGTAAATGCTAGACCATTTTGGAACCTCGCGATTTTGATTCCTAGAATCATATCAGCCTCGCCAAGATCTTTCATGTCAAAACTAGAAGTCAAATACTTCTTAGTTTCTATGACACTTTTTATGTTTGTCCCAAAAATGAGCATATCATCAACATAGAGACAGATTATGACAGCAGAGTTTCCTTGAAATCTACTAAAGATGCATATATCTCCTCCATTAATCTTAAATACAGCAGATATCATCACATTCTTAAATTTCTCGTGCCACTGCTTAGGAGCTTGTTTCAAGCTGTATAATAACTTGATTAATTTGCACACCTTCTTTTCTTGTCCAGGTAATACAAACCCCTTAGGTAGCTCCATGTAGATTTCCTCTGCTAGATCGCCATTGAGGAAAGTAGTCTTTACATCCATCTGATGAATTATCAAATTATTAATAGCAGCTAAGGCAATCAAAAACCTGATAGAAGAAATTCTTGCAACAGGAGCAAAAGTGTCAAAATAGTCAATTTCCTTTTTCTGCTAGAAACCTTTTGCTACCAATCTAGCCTTATACTTATCCAGCGTTCCGTCTGACTTTAATTTTTTCCTGAAGATCCACTTGCAACCAATTGGCTTA